GACCAACCGGTGAGCTTGGCTGTATGACGACCACAGTAAATGGGGGATTTATGGATTTCTGTGTTTCATCTCCCTGTGGTGCCTCTAGCAGAGGGGGCTGCCCTGTGCGTCGAGGTTTCTCGGGCACTTGTTTGGTGTGTGCCCCTTGCCCACGGACACGGCACATGGTGTGAAGGGGGGGATTTCCCCCCTCTCCAGCCACACTGCCCTTCCCTGCAGTGCTGGATGTGACCCCCCTGCCCCCACAAATGCCTGCAGCTTTCCTTAAATTCCCTTCTAGAGCAGGTCCATACACGGGCTATACACTCGATCTGTTCACCTCCTGTTTCCTACAATACATCGTAATTGGGCCTTTTGGCCTTTTTTTCCTTGGCCTTTGAAGCAGTTTTTTGTGGCATAAATATCCTGTGGATTCCTGTGACCAATTTTTTTCGCTCTATAGGTACCTGCAATTAGCAGCGATACTGCAGGTCTCAGGTACTGACTCCCAGGGCAGGCGGCCTCACTGGGCTCTCTGCACTGCAACAAATCAATAGCTCTGCATTGATTTAAGGGAAAAGGGAAGGAAAAAAAAAGCCAACAATTTTTATCTTCCCCCCCTTTCTTTAAATATAAATACTCTTTAGAGCAATTTGCCAGGTCGGTTTTACTCGGTGGTTTGACTGATGCCACAATTTATGTCAAGCTTAAGAAGCAGTGTGGTGTCACACAGGCAATCCTGCCCGACATTCACCGGGTGAGCACCTGTGGGAACAGCCTGCCATGTGTCTGAACTGAAAAACTAAACACCTGGCTACTTCTGTCTCCGTGTCGCAGATGGAGGAGATCTTACTTCTTTCAGTCGGATCAGAAACAAGCCAGTCTGAAATCTCCTTTTGAAAACTTCCCTCTAAAGTGACAGCAAAATGCTACTACATTGATTTAAACAGGTTACAAAAGAAAAGCTATTTTTCTTAAAAGTATTAGAGACTTTTGACCTTTTAAAAACAGATAGTTGACACTTTCTCCTGCCACTTTCCTTGTGAACATGAAAAACTTGTCTCCCTACCATGATTTATTGGACACTAGGGAGTTACAGGCTAATATATCTTAGCAGTTATTGACATTTCAAAAATGAATTCAAGCACTGACTCTTCTCATCGTCTCTTTACTTTGCTGAAGATATACACACATGTTGCACCGACCTAAGTAAGTGGGGGGATACCCATTTAACCAACTGAGTATCAATAGTGATTTCACACTTAGAGCAAAATAGTGCACGTGTAAGTCTTTGAAGGAGATTATCAGGAGGCACCAATACTGTGTCTTCCTGTCTTCTCCAAAGGGCACAACACCATATTCTCATATAAATTGATGCAGACATGGGAAAAATAAAACGCAAATTTCTGCACAGCAGACGGAAGCAAAGGGGATTTTATTTTTGTTGATGCTTTAGCACCACGCCAGCAATCCAGATTAAAGTCTGGTGAGAGTTTGGTTGCATCAAATTAATTGGCCATGTAACAGCATTAAATTGGTCTCTCTAATCTGAAAAAGCCCACGATTAGTCTGCAGAATTGGAGCTGATAACGACTGGATCTAACAGTAGAAGCCACATCATTATAAGAATTGATTTTATAATCAGTACAGTTTGGGGGGATAGATAACAGTAAGGGGATGTTTTATACTAGTTTTAGTTTACTGCCAGGAAAGCTGAAAATGCGTGAAGCTTTGTAAAGTCAAACAAGCAAGGACTGGGTCTTTGGAGGAAACGGCAGCTTTCTGCAGAAAGCCCAGGGAGATGGGCTTGGTAACTCAGTGCCCTCCAGCCACTGGGGCAGACGTACCTGCTGCCTCCTGCTTTCGGGCATCACTCAATTTTACCTTTGACTACGAAAACTTGTAGGGGAAGGCAGAAAAAATATCTCTAAAATAAAAACGCCCATCCTGGTAATGGCACTTTTTTCTCAGACATGATGGGCTCCAGAGGATCTTGTGACCATGCTGGCAGACGAAGATGGTTGTTCAGCTGAGGAAGGGACCTCCTCGTTGCGAGATGCTGACCCAAGCTTCATGCCCACATCGTAACTCCTTCCACAGAAACGGGCTAGCAGCATTTACTGCCACTTATCTTTTATTACTTCTCTCTTGGCTTTGATAGCCAGCTAATGATGAATAGTTTTATTAAGATGACCTGGGCAGATGAGGAGCTTACATTTGAGATAATCACTCAGGAGAGCGGCTGAATGAGGAAACAGGGAAAATAATTTCTGGGGAAAATGAATAGGCAGACTGTCTTTGTTTGGGAGAACATGTGGCTTCCAGGACCCAAAGTCTAGTGACAGCCTTTCCAAGCAGACCATCTTGAAGCAGATGTTCCCAGACACTTCAAGAGACAATTTTGAAACACTTTGAGGAAGCACACGTACACAAGAGGCCTCTGGAGGACAGTTTGCTGCCAACTCCAATGCATTACAGGAACGGGAAGATCCAGAATAGCAGGCACCTCAGATATGTGCAATTAAACTTTTTAGCTAAGAGGGAAAATTGTTAAAAAAAATAAAAATAAAAAAAATATCCCTCTTACTCCTCAGTTCTGGCATTAAGAATGTTCCCATGCTTATGAGAGGACTCTCAGTACTCACCAGAACAAATCATGCAGCATGTTACACCCACTTCAGTGAAAATAAATCTCCATGACTTGACCCATCATGAGAAAAATATTAGCATTGCCTAATGTCAATCACAATTAGGACTATAGACTTTATCTTACAGCTGTGAACACCATCCACTACATCTGTCAAATGTCCTCCCAAAGGGATTTAGGTTTCTTTTATTCGATGTTGCAGTCACTCTGTGAAATATCTTTTTCCAGCACAGAGATTTCCTTCTGTCTTCTTTGCTATTTGCATTCATTCTTCCCTTCCATAAAAGCGACTTCCTATTTTTGTGGTTTGTGTCTAACTGAGGCCTTGACCCTACAAACTCTTATCCCTGTGCTTTGGCTCCAGGCTGACCCAAGACCCTACTCCATAAATATTTGCATGATTGGGGCCCTCAGATATAACTTACCTGGGAAAAACATATCCTTTTATGCTTCCAAAGTTAAATCCAAACCTCTGCCTTATAACAGACTGCCAGAGAAAACACAAGCACCAGCAAGAAGCTACTAAGCCAAAAGCTTTACAAAACAAGTGTGCAATGAGGGTCATTTATCTGATTGTGATACTGTGCTATCATAAGCAGAAAAAAATTACCATTAAGCCCAAATCTGCAGGTTCTATATTGGAGGATGCAGAGATGACATACTAGACAAACACGGGAATTACACGCAATCCCTAACCCTTTTGCCAAGTGGCTGATGGCAGCAAAGAGGAGCCTGATTCAATACATCTAGAGTCTTATTTGACAAATAACTGAACAGCTCTCCGCTACGAAACCTTGGAAAATCACACGCTTCCACCTGAGTTTCCCTGACACAAACAACCCTCTTCATCAGCAAACGCTGCAAGACTGCACACAGATAAGAAAGTCTTAGTAAGGGGAAGGGAACATGTCCTAAAACTTGGGCCAAAATTCAATATATTAATATGTGTCTATGTTTGTCTGGGTATGCACAGAATATTCCAATAAAAGCAATAAAAATAATAGACTCATAGCCACGGGATGGTGCTTACTCGCTAAGATCAGCCAGCAGCAGCCTTTCTGTCCATCTGACCCCATTTACAAAGAAGTTGCCTACGTACACCATGAAGGGTCTCTGCCACAACTGCGCTGTGTAACTCAGGCTTGTAGAAATGCCCGACAAACAAGGACTTTCTGCTATCATCTGCTGTCGTAGTGCTTGAACAAGAAAGTCCTCAGACTGGACTTAGCCCTTGGATGGGGAGCCCTCAGTACCGATTCCCGCAGAGGAGTCTCCATAGGAATGAGGCAAAACTCTTGAGAACCCAAAGGCAATTCCTGACTTCTTGAGAACGACCTGTTTCTCCTGTGTAAGAGCACTTTGATCTCCCTGGGAGCTCTTCTCCTCCACGCTATCCTGGGTCGTACCTAACTGTGGACATAGAAAGACGTAGGAGCTAGAGATGATGCAAAATACCTTATCTGAAGTAGTTCTTCCTTCTTCATCAAGGGAGAAGAGGACTCTTCCTCCCCAGCTACAGTGCTTGAAGGAGAAGACTGAACAAGAAATGTAGTTTGAATAAAGAAAATTATGTTTTTCCTTAGAAGGTGCTGTGTCTATTCCTTTGCTCTACTGCACTGCATATGCTTACAGTATTTTTCTCTCTGGCTTCTTGTACTGATGCAAACAAACTGGAACTTACAGTGTTTTCACAGCTCACAAGCCTGGCAACCCCTTTTTTGTTTCCAGTAAAACACTTTGAAAAAATACGACTGA